CAACGATATTCCTGACATTTTGAATTGAAAATCCTTCTTGCATGGAAAGAAACATCTTCAAACTTGGAAAAAAAGTACAGTTGATTTTTTTTTATTTTCTTTTTTTGGAATACCTGCAGAAAGTTACTAAAACAATTGTTTTTTTTTTATTGATTCACTAATAAATACAAGTGTAATTCTAAGACAATAAAAAACTAACAGTTACAAATGGGTTTGAGAAATTACTTTCAAAACTTCTTGCAATTATTCACCTTCAAACATGGGAGATTTCAAATAAAATAAAACAAATGCTGACATGAGAAAGATTTGCTAATACCCAAGAATCAACATTTTGTTGTTGGCATCTGATGTGAAACTTCACATCTAGTGTGAAAAATATGCGGTTTGATGTTCTTAAAGATGTGCTATTGTGTGTCTTAAAGAAAAGCATAACAAAATCCCAAAACATTTGTAACGCCATAACACTTCAAAGCACATTGGTAAATGTTTAATTCATATCAAAAGAACATTATCACTACAAACATTATGGTGTACTCAAGGAAGTATAAAAACTGACTATCTCTAAAACAATAGAGGATTCAGAAGAGACATTTTCAACATTCTCTGAATTCCATTGAAATATATAGAAATTAAAAAATATAATATGATATAGGTAAAATCCTTGTTATTTCTGAACTATTTTTTACTTTAAGCTTTGTTCAAATGTGAATTTGTCTTTTTTTAATCACTGCTGATAAAAAGGTACAACTGAAATTAAATATATTTAAATTTAATGTCCTTAACTTCAGATTCTGTGATTAGACATTTAAATGCTTAACTTTTAGTAGGGTGTATTTGTTTTGTTACCTTTGGAATAAAACAGTAGATGATTTTTTGCCTTTCTTCAACAATAAAGTGATCATAAATGTTTTTTATCCTGGGTTTCTGTGCAGAAAGGGCCTTTTTTTCAATATCACACATCCGTCTTATATAATCCTTTCTTAGTTTTTGTAGCTGAGTTGTCTTCTTTCCTGTAATTAAAACAGAAACTTTAAAAACCTTTGAGACTAAACCTAACTTCCTGAGTAAAAAATAGATAATCAATATAATTCATTCCCTCCACAAAGCTTCTAATAGACGGTGAAAGAAGGCAGAAAAGGAAAAAATCAGAAACATGTATTAAATTAAACTTAGTCTCAGTTCTGTGTTTAATTTAGTTTTTGATGAAGAAAAAGTAATAGCCAAAGAGTTCGACAAAATAAAGAGGGCATAGATTACAAAGAAGGATAAAGCAAAGCAGAAAAAGATATTGTATATAACATACCTGCAACTTGGGAAATGCCTTGTTGGGTAAAGAACAATCTAATAATAAACACAGAACCAAAAACAACAAGAAGAGCTAGATATTCCTTTTTAATCCTCATGTCTGGAATTTAAAAAGCATCTACCTTATGGAAATGAGGATAATAGAAGCACAATAATTTTAATTCCACACATATAAGCTTGATGATTTCATCTTTTCTTGTATAAAAACCTGTATCTGCACTTGCAGTAAGAAGCCCTGGCACAAACCCATACTTTGAATAAGTAGGTGTGTCTTAAATCCTCACCTTTTTGCATATACCCAAATGGAAGAGCAAATAACTAAGGAACTGCATCAGTTCAAACATGACTCAACGTTTTTTATTTTCCTTCTCCAAAATAATAGGGTTTTTTAAAGAGCAGTAACAAAGACATGCTTGAGAATAGGAGTGTGTCATTTTTTTACATTTTGTAGTGGGAAAAAGTATTCAACTATTCACCCTAGTTAAATAAACAGAGATTTATGATTTCACTTACAGTAGTCAGAACCTTATTTTCATATCTTTGCAAGGAGAGAACAGCCCTTATGGCACAGTATTAAGCCCTGTTTTGCCTGGGCAGCGTTCGATCCCCCTTACTTACAAAAATGGAAAGTAGTCACAGTTAAAACAAATTACAGATTGTAACATGTTATGAATTAACATTGAGAAAGACTTTGGCTTGTTTTAGGAAGAAGCTATTTCTGGTATAAAAACACCCTCATGTAGAGAATTGTGTGGCCTTGCAGGTAAAACAGACTGAGTGAAAACATTTATGGTGACTAAATGTCATGATTTTATCCAAGATCTGACCCACATTCAGGAAACCAAACAGAGAGACCAAGGGAAAGTTTAACAGGCTAGGTTTATTGAGAACTGATAGGGATGGGTCCAGTGCTGCTCTGAACACTGGCGAACTGGGACTGAAAAGTGAAGGGGGAGTTCCTGTGGTTAGATCAGGCTCAGTGGGAAAATTGAGCTTCGATTTGCAAAAGGGAATAAAGGCAACGGAATTCACGTTTCCAGTAAAAGGTGTCTTTCTCTGAATTCAGTTGGTGTGGGTTATTCCAGTAATTGAGTTGCTCGTTGAAGGATGGACAGGGTTACCCAGGTTGAGGTGTTTCCTTGAGGAACGGAGGAGCTGACTGCCACTTAGATTTCAAATGGTACTTGAACCTTTTCTTGTGGAGATGAATCCCCTGTTCAGTGTGAAGCCCAAACAATCCTTGTGGAAAAGTTGATCCAAACGACCTGTTTCAATCCTCAGCTCAGTTTGACGCTCAGACAAACCTTCCAGGGGGAGAAGGTCCAAAACATCCAGTTTGCAGGATGACTTCCTGCCAAGAGGCAAAGACAAAAAGAACAATGTTAAGACTCAGGTTGACAAAAACTCAGCTTGACACAGCAAAACTCAGCTTGGCTAGAGTACCCAAAACTGGCAAACACTCTGGCCTCGAGGTAGTGGCAGTCAGCAGTTTAAGAGTCCTCCGGTAATGAGGCAACCATCTGCAGGTGTGTGAGAGGGCCAACGAGAACTAGGCGCCACCTGGTGGTGGAGGGAAAACAAACAAAAAACACAACCCACACAAACTGGATTCCTAACACTAAATAGGATAAGTTAATATATGAAATGAGATAAATTTAAATTTTCCGACCACAATTTATTCTGCTTATGTCAGTAACTGCAGAAAATTTCAGACCTCTAGGTATAACAGTTCAAGAGATATGGGACTGGAGTCATTATCATCTCCAAACCTCTCCAAAATATGCCAAATTATTCCAAATTGTTTTTTTTTGCTTATACACAACAATCTTATCACCAAAATCATATTGGAGCATTTTGATGGCCACGAAACACTTTTGAAGCAAATATAATTTTATTTTTTATAACTTTCCATCTAATTATCCAACAGTGTGCAATAATCCAGGATCGGATCTGCCTCTCTGCCTTTACGCCAGGCTATACATCTGGGCGCCACGATTCCAATTAGCCATGTTTAGCCATATTTTATAGGTAATTTTATTAGCTAGAGAGCCAAACATTGCATGTGGCCATAACCAATAGCAGGTAAACTTTATGAGGAATAATATGAAGGAAAGTATGCATAAAGATGGCAGTTGAGAGGGAGCTCTTTGGCTGTCCTGGTGTCAATTCTCAAAACAGGGTGGGCAAACATAGCCAATATACCCAGATATATCTATGCTTACCTATCGTAATTCACAAGACTTTTCCATAAGACTGGTAAAAATTTATTTTATGTGGCAATTTCTCATCATGGAATGTTTTTATTACAAATATGCTAGATCACTGTTAATCTGTGGACCTTTCCGGAGGAGGGAATATTTGAAGATTGGATTTATAATACGGTTTCTTTGCTGCTATGTCTATGTTAATTTGCTTTGGTGCTCGCTATGGGATTATGGTTGACTGCAGTGCAGCAGAACCAAGCTGTCAGCTTCGGAGCTGTCATGATGGGTCTCAAGTGTTTAAACCCACATGCAGAACACCACAGGAAACGGGGTAAAAGTTTAACAGTTTATTGAATGAGAAGCACACAGAATAATAATGAGCAGGTTCTGGTACTGGTCCGGGACTGGAATCACTGAGAATCTGCAGAGATGGATTGTTTGGTTAGCCAGGCAGCGGTGATGATTTATTAGGTGTTTGGTTCAGATTTGTACCTTGATGAGGTTCAGACAGATCGCTGGAGAGGGGGAACCAATTGGGTCCAGAGAGAGAGGGTTCAGCAGAGAGCTCAGCAGCAGCAGCGTCTAGCATCTGGCTAGTGAGGTTCAGACCTTGAGATGATGTCCTAGCTCTCCCTTGAGAGCTGGCTGGGGAATCCAGACTGATTGTCTTCAGGTTTGGCTTCCTAGGGCAGGCAGGCAGGTTTCCAAGAAAAGCTCCTCCAGAGCTACAGACTTCAGTCGGGCTTTCCTGTGAGCAGAGAAGACAGAGGCTGGTTAGAATCTAGTTACTCTCTAGAGCAGACAGAGATTATCAAAGTGAACAGAGGCTCAGGTTCCGCTAACTAAAACTTGGTCAACACTCCGGCGCCGAAGACAGGTCTGGCTGCTGCTTATGTAGGAGGTCTCCTGATGTGCTGATGATCCTCAGGTGTGCTGGAGGCTCCAACCCAGGAGACCCACAGCGCTCTCTGCTGGAGACAGGTGGCAGATCTCCAGATCCCAACAGGAGCTGGTCTTGGAACTCTGGTGGATGGAGGGAGGTAGCCAGCGGGCGAGGGAGCGATCAAACACGACTCGATGACGGTAGCGGCTCCGTGCGTCACTACGTCCCCAGTTAGCTCCAGACCCAGACCAACATACCAGTCCCGGGGTGATGGGCATACCCTGGTGATAGCAAGGTTATGCCTGATGTCACAGAGTCTCCTAAAACACTGGCATATATTAATTAAAGCTTCTCCACTCAGGTGCATCGCTGCTTCTGAGGGGAGCACCTGGTCTGCACAAAAAAAATAGATTTGATTGTGGTATTAACCTGGCTCTTGTTTACTGCCCACCCCCCAAAAATGAATAATCGTCTATCCATTTTCTGTCCTGCCTATGGCCGGATCCACTTCGGGGTGGCTGGCTGCCGGCGGAGCCCGCCGACTGATCCCCAAGGCTCCTGGTGGCTCTGGCATTGCAGCGGCTGGGGGTTTTCCTTGGGGCCGTCTCTCCTCCTCCCTTGGTGGGGGGCAGATTTCCTGGGTTGGCCCCTCCTGGGTGCCTTTGCTCTTGAGATCCCTTTGGGCGTCTGGGGCTTTGGGTCCCCCTGCACTTGCCTCAGTGCTCTGGAGGGGCACGTCTTCGGTGCTTCACAACCACTATTGAGCATTTTTCCTTTGGATAAACTTTACATGCACAAGTGCACTCTCACAAAAAAAAAACTACAGGTGCTTGGCTCCAGGTACTTAGAGATTTACTTCCATATAGAGCCCATATTCTTATCTTCAGCTACCAGAGTATACATGTCAGATTAAATAATACTACTTATACTTCAGCGATAGTATCAAGGTGTTACTTTACTGTATCTCTTATATTATATCCGTTGGTTGTACTCTTCTTTTTATATTTCTTTGCAGGTGATGAAGCAGACTGAAGATGTTTTATCGTTATCTCCCTTTTATATCCCCTTTTATCTCCTCTGTCTTTCATCTTTCTTCCTTTTTTTCAGTTTTTTCTTTCCTGTTGTACTTATATTGCAGTATCCATAAAATCGGTAATACTCCCTGCATGAATCATACTAAAGCTATTTACAGTATATGCATAAATCAAGCAGAACACTATGGCGATTACTGTAATGCTCCATTTGTGAAAGCAAAATCTGTTGGGTTCTCTTTTTGGCAACAAGACAGATATATTTTTATGCCAAATTGCCAGACAGGACACTGTAAAATACAAACAAAAAAAACCCATACTTTTTTAAAAGTTGTCATTACATTGTCACGAGTACAGAGCAAGGAAATTAAGTCTCTGCATTTAACCCATCCCCTTGGGGAGCAGTAGGCTGCCATTGTGCATCGCCCTGGGACCAGTGTGGGATTAAGTTTCTTTGCTCAGAGATCCATAATGAGAGTCTGTGGGAGTGGGGCTCCAACTCAGAACCTCACGATTCTAAGCTCTATGCCCAACCACTAGGCCGCCACTCAACAAAAAAGAACAATTAGCTTTGTCAAGCGTACATAAGTTTTGCCTGTTCTCCTGTCCTGTTATTGTAATTCTTTTAGCCTAAGGTGAAACATTAAAAGAGGATTTCTCAGAAGTAATTAAAGCCACGCTTTCACCAGTCAGACCTGTTATGCATGTTGTCTGAGGGAGGGACACTACATAATAAGGATAATACACGGGACTGACCTAGACACAAAATTATTTACAATCTAAAAAGATAAGATGCTATAAAGCAAAAACAGATAAGAAACCAAAAGTACATGTATTTGAATATTTTTTTTTTTATCTTGAAAGTGTATTTTTCAATCTGGATAGTGTTTCTTTTCTGAGATGTTTTTTTTTTTCATAATTCTGTTAGTTATGTCTGTGCTTTCATTTTCCTACCTGAATATTCTGTTCTATTCTACTCTATTCTGTCTGGGCTGCCCTGTAAATGCTAAGGTGCTGTACACACATGCTCTGTCGGTAAAACA